CTCCCCGCCGCCGTCGTCCCTTCCCCGCTCGCTCTTGGGGGGTGCGGGGGCCTCCAGATGGCGGCGGTGCAGCTCGGCCGCTGCGGTGGGGTTCGGCGGCAGGATTCCGGCGAGCTCCGTGGTTCTCGATGCGGCGGCGCGGCCGTTGGCCGCAGGGCGGCGTGTCGGTGCTAGTGGCCGGCGGCGCCCGCGCGGCCCAGATCTGGGCCCATTCGGGCTCCATCTGGGCTAGGAGGGCCGGCGACTCGGTGCGTGGCGGCGCTGCTCCCTGGTTGGCGGTGAAGTGGCGGTGGTTTGCGGGGCGGTGGCGGCTTCGTCGGCTGGCGAGCTGCAGCGTGACGGCAGGGGCAGTCCGGACCCTTTTGGGTCCGGCCGGGCCTCGGTGTCTGGCAGTCCCCTTGTCCGCGCGTCCGGTCGGCTCCGCGGTGGCGGTGGTGGTTGTCCCCTCACGTCGGTGATGTTGCGGATGCCCCCAAGGCCATTCTTCCTTCTCCCATCCTCCAGGTCTCGTGTCGGTGACCTCAGGGAGACGACGAAGTTGATTCGGTGACCGTGGTGGCACATGTTGGTGGGCGGCGCGATGGGCGGTGCACTATGATTCGTCTGGGGTGGTGGTGGGGGTTTGTGTTGGGAGAAATCTCTGGCGGCTCGTCCGGCCCTGACGCGGCGACGCCTGTGGGTGCCGCCGGACCTTCCTAAAGGGCGTCGGGTACACCCCTCCCCTCACTGCCCCCCGCGTACCGGGGGAAACCCTAGGACTAGTCCAGGCAGCAGCGGCGTCGTCGTCGCCTCCTTCTTGAAGGTGTTGCTTGGTACGCGGCGCTTCGGGTGCTGGGAACGTGGTGGTACTTCTCCGGAGTCCGGAGGGTGCAGCGGTCGCCGGTTATCTTCGTTTCGTCGATCTGCCGTTGTTGGCATTTGTTTCTCTTCCTTTCTTCTCTGTGTTTTCTTTGGGCTTGTTTGTGCTGCGGCCCCAGCACCTATCGTTGAATGTATCGGTGGTTGCTTTGTAATACAAAGCGGAGGAAACCCTTTTCGTGAAGTGGGTGGTGAGGCAGTTTAAGTGTTTACTCTTTGAGTAAAATTAGTGAGCTCAACTAATATAGAGATACATGTGCAGATGTGCTCACAGCCCAGACCTTCAGAGCTGCGTCTATTTATTTTGGATTTCATAGTTTATTTTGATCACAAATCATTACAATAAAAACCTGCACAAATATATAGTACAATTTGACCACTTAACCATTGCTCCTAGGTAGGCATGTCAATGAGGATTTTGTGCTGTTACATTCTTCGTAATAAAATTCAGACTAAGCCACAACAAGTACTGTTGGACTGAAGACAGCAGACAATGATTCATTTATTATCAAAGAAAACAAACTCCACAGAAACCCTTGTCAGTGGCAATTACCTCTCGATATGCTTGTGTTCTGACAGCAGGCGACACTGTCCGCCGCCGCCTCTGTCGTGTCGTAGCCGGACGCTGGCTGCGTTCAGATGGAGTGCTCCGTATAGCAACCAGACTCATAATTTGGTGGGCTCAAACGGGTCCTCTTTTCAGTGCTGAAACAGGCTTTGGACTGAATTTAGTAACAGCCCATATTAGACGCTTTTTCTGTTAGTTTTTTCGCGTGGATTTCACACAGAAGTGACCTCCAATATTGTCAGGTCTTGAATGTGCTTGCTAGTGTTATGGGATATTGTAACTGACATAGTGTAACAGAGCGCATTGCCATCACTGTTTAAGTGTTTATTATTCAAGTCGACATAGCAAGCAGTTTCCTTAAGAAAAACAAAGCTTATGATTTCCGTCTTGTTTCAGGTCAAGCTAGACAGCTGACTGTACCGTATTTACTGGTTCCACTCTTCGGTTCTGGAAAGTTTTAGACGATCGACAACTTTGTTTTGTTTGCTATTCCAAACTAGCAGCTGTCTTCCTACAAGAAATTGTTTTTGCCCCCCCTGTTTCTTGGCTTCTGGACGCGCGAGTGCTAGGATGCTCGTTCCGACAGGTCAGGAGGCTGTTGTGTTAGGAATAAACCACGTTTCACCGTGGTCATCTGTGTGTCGCGTGTGAGTGGGTGTGCACTCAGTCCAGCGCGTGGGCAGGGGCCGTTGGCGAGTGTGCCGGCCAGATTAGCTAGTGCATGCACCTAGTTGGCAGGTTAGTTAGTGCATGGATCTCGGCTGGATAAGGTTGAGAGCCTAACCCAAGTGGTGGTTGAGGCCGTGCATGTAGCTAGGTTAGTGCGTGTGTGTGGTTGGACTAGGTAGTGGCCGGTGTGGCAGCCGGGTCGTGTGTGTGCAGCCGGGTATAAAACCCCCTCCCCGTGTACTGATCAAGAGCGCCGGTATGAGCCGAGCCTATGAGCCAGAGAAGAGGCAGTCTCCGTCGGGACCGTGGTATGCGCCCGGTTGGCTGTGAGAGAGCTCCTCTGGGTAGGCTGCGGTGTGTTGCCGCGCCCGGATATGTAAAGTGAGGCCGTTCGTGCGGCCGAGGCGCCGTTCGTGCGGCGGAGGCGTTTGTGCGCCGGAAAAGTTATGTGCTCCATCTTCCATCTTCGTTTGTGCGAGTGAGAGAAAGAGAGTGGCAACAACATGTTGATGTTACTGCGAATATCCACACCATATACACCTCAAACTTAAATCATTATCCTCATATGCTTGTTCCGACAGTTTCTGAAATTTTATCAGAATATTTCTGCTTTCAGCCTGGGAAGGATGTCGGCGCCTAGCAGACTTCTTAATCCAATCTTATCCTGCAGTTGCAACTGTAATCTGACCTGATCCAAGTTTTTGTGCATTCCACATCCACGCAACAGCACAACATATAATTAGTAAGTCACTTTACTTAGAGTTCACTCGCTAGTGATAGTAAGGAGTGATGTCGTTTGTTCGCTATCTAAAAAGAGCAGGTGGTGGATCGTTGGATCTGATAAAATGTACAAGTTTATGGTACGTTAGCTAAAATCATTAGTACATTTATTACTTCAATGGTATACATGAACACATCTGTTTATTCTGAATAAAAAATACAGCAAGAGCTACATATTACAAGAGTTTTGAAACAAAATTAGACCGGCACTCCTCGTCGCTTCCTCCCTGACAAGGTGCTACCATGATGTGTATCCTGAGCACGCCTAGTAACAAAATAAACAAATGATTCATGCGGGGGTATCCTTGATTCCCATAAAATGAGAATGAAGTCTCCTTTTGGTCTAACACTAGGATCTGTTAGAAGTTCCGCAGCAGTCACACTTGGCGGTTTCTCGATTGAAGCATTCATTGTAGAAGGTGCCATGCTGTGTGGATGCGAAGTAACGTCCCTTATGTCCACTGGATGGCCTTGTTCTAGGAGCGCTATTCTTGGCTGCATACCATACATGGAGAGGTTCCTTTTAAGGAATCTTATCCCCTTGTCCAATATGCCACACCAAGATTGAACATGCAGACTCCTTCTTAACGCATCTGCAAACACAGTTGTTTCAACAAGTGAAGCTTGCATACTATGCAACACCTTGGCAAATTCATCCGCGAGCTGAAGTAGCCGTGGATGTTCTGTCGGGTCTACGCTTCCGAATGCCATTATCTTGAAAAGGTACCTCAGCTCATCGTGAGATAGAGCACTTAAGAAAATCGGCTTCACCGATGCAAACCGGGCCAATCTTTTAATTCTACTTACAATAATGATCTTGCTTCCTCTTCCAATTGTTATGAGAAATGAGTGAAACTTTTCCCAGTCATCGTCATCTATATCAAAAACAAACTCAATAACGATCAACATCATCCCTTTCATAGTCCTTCCATGGTCAAGTATTCTTAAAAGGTTGTCTCCATTCAAGTGCAATATAGAGGAGAAGCGCAGACGAACCCTTTCATCGCCGCACACATGAGCAACCAAAGTTTTCTTACCAGTTGTTGCACCACCTATAATCGGAAGAACTGCCGGTACATGATCACCAGGAGGGTCGTTGTGCTGCAGCAACAAGCTCAAGAGCTTTTGCTTTTCAGCATGCCGGCCAAACATGAAGTTATCTATGTAAAGATAAACATCATATGGCCTACGAGACATGCGCTCGCATCCACCCAGAAGGATCACAAATTCTGCCATGTTAGCAACAACAATTTCCAAGCTTTCCAAGGCATAATGCAACTCAAGGTGCGTGCCCTTATTACTTGTTCGAGAACGCTTGGCTAAATACAAGCTCCCGATAGATGAGTCGTTGCTGCTAACCTCGTCAGAGCTTGCCCCGTCTTGGAGAGCTCGATACTTCGAGTTGTCCACCACACTGTATCCTCGGTACATGGCCTCTGAGAGCATATTGAGCTGCATCATCATCCCGGAGTTGGTTATGTACCGTGTGTCCGCCTCCTCGACGATGGTGCAAACTCTCACTAGGAGATGCTGCAACCTCTCCATCACCTTCTCCTGCGAGTGTGGACGGCTAGAATGGTACTTGTTTAGCTGGAAGGAGATGAAACGGCTCACTAGTTCACCTGCAACAGCAGACAAGGCAACCTCCATGGCCAGAATTAAGTAGGTAATCAACTGGTCGGCTTTTTAACAAATTTATAGGCTGGCATCTGCCAAGTCTTGCAGAGAGTCTTCACGAAATATGAAAGTCTCCATGGTTGACTTTTGACTGTGACGAGTGGGTGGGCGACACAAGGATACTTGTCATTTTCACCTTTGTGCTAGTTCAGTGTTTAATAAATAAATAAAAAACTTGCACTGTGAGCATTTTTCATATAGGTCAGTCTTGACCTGATGTTGATCTGCACTATGGTAATGGAGAAGAATTACCGAAAAAGGGTTTCCCCGCTTTATATTATAAAGCACCCACCGAATCACAAGTTCAACGATACAAAGGAAAGGAAGAAAAAACCATAAACGGCAAATATACAAGATACCAAAGGAGCCACTAACAAGACTCGAATGCACCAAGCACAAGCTTGAACATCGAAGCCCTCGGCGAACAGGAGCCAACACACGCCACGACTAAGCCGAGGTAGATCCCGCTGCAGGAGGATTGTCACACTCTGTCATCCCCCTTGAGCCAAGCCATCCGGTCCGCCATCCATCTCTACCTTCGAAGAGAGGCCCCTGCCCTCTAGTCCTGGATCGGAGGACACTACGCCGTCGACAGGGAGAGTCGCTTACCCCTGAGCTCGCATGACCAGGACCAACAGGTTGCCGGGAGGGGGCGACAAGCACGACTACCGCACCATCGATCATCGCCAACGCCGCGCGCCGACGCCAACTTCAACCGCAAGTGGCCGAGCATGGACACCACTGACGATATCCGGCAGCCACCTCCCGTGCCAAAGCCTCGACCACCACTCCGCCGCTCCAAGGTGGTGTCTTCAAGAAGAAAAACGACGCCGGAGCGCCGTCACCACCCAATTCGGAGATTTGGGGCTTTCACCCGGGATGAGGAAGGGAGGGCGAGGGGGGATTGCGAAGCTGCCTTCAAGAAGGGGAACGACGTCGGAGCGCCGCCGGCGTCGTTGCTGCAGCGAACAGCCAAGGGGTTTCCCCCAATCCATCCCCCCGAGAGGAAGCACCATCGCCAGATCTGCTCCAAGGGCAAACGGGGAAGCCCCAGGAGCCAGCCGCGCTCCCCGCCGATCCGCCGCCCACGCGGCCAGGAGCGACGCTCCCCGCATCTGCATCAGCCACCCGCCGAAGGGGGGTGACGCGCTCCACCAGTGGCCACCGCCACCACGCCAGGCGCAACCGCACGGAACAGAACACCATCGAGCCCATCGCGCCGCCGCCAGGCACCGGCCCCGCCACCGCCACCCGCCGCCGCGCCGTCACGCCCTCGACCAGCGCCACGCCGCCGCCCGCTGACCCCGACCCGCGTCGGCCCTAGCGAGCAGGGGAAGGAAGGCCCCGCCGCCGTCGAGGCTGACCGGGCTTCGCCCGTCAGTGCGAGCTGGCGGCGGCGAGGGAGGAGTCGAGGAGGAGGGGGGCCTGCGACTGGCGGCTAGGATTTCCCCTCCGCGTCGCTCGCGGGAGCGACCAGGAGGGGAGGGGAGGGAGGAGACATTGCACCATTCGCTCTACCATCGGAGAAGAATTTTCATCTGCTGCAACTTGGACGATCGACAAACTTGGTCTTGTTTCCCTATTCAAAGCAACTCTCTCTATTGACAATTTAAGTGGCCTCTGCCGAACAAGTCTCGCAGAGAATCTTTGCAAAATGGAGAAGTCTCCAGTGATTTATAAGTAGTTGATGGCGACAAGATGGTGGGTGACACAATGATACCTGTCTAAATGTCCTGACATGTGATATGGACAAGCTAAGCAGCATGAGAATATTGACCACTCACTCTAGCAAAGTTTGACGGTGGAAATTGTTTTGGTCTTTTCGAGAAGGACTTGAGTGGAGAAGCAAGGGGCAACACATCGACAAGAAACGATATGCTTACTTTTCTATCTTGTTTAGTGATGATGAGAATCACAGCTCCATATACTTCAGTAATCTCTCAGGGCACAGGTAAACTGTTTGTTTGTACTGTTGTCTTTTGGTTTCTTCAGAACCTGATTGATTATGTGTGGTTTAGCCTGTACTAATTCAGTCTTTAATCGAAAAACGTTACATCTGTGCATTCGTCAGATGTCAGGCTTGCCCTGATGTTGATGTCCACAATGGTAAGTAAAGGTGTAGCTTGACCCGATGTTGATTTCCACAATGGTAGAAGTGTTGCTTGATCTGATGTTTATTTCCAAGCAACGACTTCCAAGCCGGGCAGCTCAGCAGTGGCACCGCAGATTCTCAGGACCGCCTTGTACAGTCAATTTTATCATTATTGGCCGTCCTTATTAGCAGAAGTGCGCTCCTTTACTGGAAAGACAAGGCAAGCTGATTTCTTCTTTTTCCTGTATGTCATCTGGTCTAGAAAGACAATCCAGGCTGATTTTATCATCTTATATCGTTATTGGTACAAGAGTGAAGTGCATGATGAACAGTAAAAACAAATAAATATATAAAAAATAAAATTCTTTCGCATCGAAGATGCCCTGGTGCGTGAACAGTAGAAATGTTCGGTAATTCAAAAAAATGTTCGCGAATATGGAAAAGTTATTCGCGACTTTAGAAAAATGTTCACAAACAATAAATTTGAAAATATGTTCGCGCGTATGGAAAAATTGTTCGGGACTTTAAAAAAATGTTCGCGAACCACAAATATTCGCGACTTTAATAAAATATTAGAACATTTTTTTAAGTCGCAACTATTTTTCCGAAATTCATCATTCGCGAATATTTTTTTAAAGACGCGAATATTTTTTCCAAACTCATCGTTCGTGAACATTTTTTTAAAGTCGCGAATATTTTTTCCAAATTCATCATTCACAAACATTTTTAAAGTCATGAATATTTTTACAAATTCATCATTCACGAACATTTTCTTAAAGTCACGAGCAGTTTATTAAAGTCGCGAATAATTTTTCCAAATTCATCGTTCGTGAATATTTTTTGAATTAATGAACATTTTACTGTTCATGCACCAGGGTATCTTTGATGCCAATGAATTTCAGTTTTTTTACATTTTTACTGTTACCATGCACTGTTCATCGCGTACAGAAATAATGGTCGGAACCGAATGCTATTTTACTGTTCACGGTTCGCTGTTTCACTGTTCACGTTTAACGCCGCCAGCTGACCGGTTAGAGCGGAGAGGGTCGGGGAGATTTTGGACCTGAATGGCACACTTACTGCACTTTAAGAACCTGGATGATGATTTTCATAGTTCAAGGACCTGCGTGACACCTCTGAAATATTTTGAGGACCTACAGTGCACTTCACTCTTAGTACAATCACTAAACTACTTACCTGGGGTGTGCGTGTCTGTTCATGCTCGACATTAGAAGTCCATTCTCATGGTGATCTTCAATTCTAACTCAGTTTTAAATTTCTAACCTGTTTTTGGCCATCGGAGATCACGGTACCATTTGGTTTTATTTTGCCCTTTTTCACACAGAAGTTTGAATCCGTGCGCACAAGTAGAGATCTGTTCGAACTCGCACTACGGTTGTTTTTCCTTAGATTGAGAAGCAAGCATTGTGTAGTGTCTCTCATACAAATAATATAGATATCATTCCTTTTTGGTTCGTCAGAACCTAATACCGACAGTGTGGTCAAGTGTGTCTGCACGTGGCCTTTTGGCTCAATTAGACTTATGTTGATGAGCAAATCTGATTTTGCTCTCCGCAATAGTGAACATGCACTTTTCTCACCTCTTTTTGGTGAAGCAAATTACACTTTTCTCATATTTTTCGTAGCTTCAGATCTAGAGCTTCTCTATCCCGTTTAGCCTCCCGTTGTGGCCGGGGAGCCAAACCAGTGCAGCAAACGGTTTTCTAAATGTTCAGAAGTTTCAGTGTCCAACACTCCAGCAAACATTCTTTTTTAATTTCAGTTCAGTTTTCTCACCTTCGTGTATGGATCAGGATTTGTACAATGGTGTCAGATGAAATTGTTGGTTATAAAAGATGTGCAGGGCATGGTTGCTTCTGATAGAGCATACCACATTATTATAGATCTGCAGTACATTTAATGGTATACAATCACCCCTAAAAATAGTTTCTTCATGGCCATGTGAACACATCCGTTTCACATCTACCAAAAAAAATATATACAACAAGAGGTCCAAGAGTTTTGAAACAAAATTAGATTGGCCCTCCTTTCTGCTTGCTCCCTGAGCATGTGTAACCTGAGCATGACTTGTAACAAAATGAGGAAACGAATTATGTGGTGGTATCCTTGATTCCCATGCAATAAGAATGAAGTCTTGTTTTGGCGTAACACTAGGACCTCTCGTAAGTTCCCCAAATGTCAGACTTGGCAATTCTTTCTTGATTGAAACATTAGGAGTACAAGCTATCATGCTAAGTGGATACAAAGCATAATCCGTCATGTCGACTACAGAGGCTTGGTCCTTAAGCATGCTTGATTGAATATCAAATATGGAGTAGTTTCTTTTAACATATATTAGTCCCTTGTGCACTATGCAACGCCAAAACTGAACACTGACGTTCATTCTCAACACATACGCAAGCATATTTGTTGCAAGAAGTGTACCTGGCACATTGTGCAACAGCTTGGTAAATTCTTCTACTAGTTGTACTAATTGTGGATGTTCCGTGGGGTCTACACTCACGAATGCTAGTATCTTGACAAGGTACCTCAACTCATCGCAAGACATACCACTTAGAAAAATAGGTTTCATCGATGGAACCGGACTAATGTTTGAAGTCTACTTAGGATGATGAGTTTTGTTCCTCTGCCCATTCTAATGGCAAAGAAGTAAAACCTGTTCCATTCATCGTTGCTTACATTAGAAGCAAACTCAATAACTACCAACATCGTCCCAAACAAGGTCCTTCCATGGTCAAGTATGGTCAAGAGGTTGTCCATTCAAGTGCCAAATAGAGGAGAAGCATGACCGAACCCCTTCGTTGCGACACACATGGGCAACCAAAGTTTTTTTCCCAATTGCTACACCACCTATTATTGG